AAGAGGCCCTGGGCCTAATTTGGATTTTTTTTGGAACACGTGCAGGTACTCTTAGTGTGTTTCAGTTTCCCGGGAAAAATTCAGGGAAAATTAGGGACGGCCTGCAGGCGCACTGTGAATCGTATTCGGATCTCGAAAACAAGTAAGGACCCCTCACCCTATTTCCTATCACGGTATTAAAGTTCAAAATGATAAAACGGTATTTCTTGAATTAACGAATGTGTGAAATTGCTTAAGGTGGCTAATGGAGCCCGAGTCTAGTGTGATTGGTGATTTACTGTTATTTGGCCTGTTTCACAGCTTTAAATGCAAAATGAGGTTTGATGTGTTCATTTTACAGATTTGTGTGCATGTACTACGTTTTTATTAATTATGGGTTGAATGACTGAAAAACTGATACTGTATGTTGTCTGTTTGGTATGAATTACGATTTGCTTGTTTAAATGTGAATTGATGATGCTGATTGAGGAAAAGGAAAATGAAAGATTGTGTAGACTGATAATTGTATTATGGGGGTCAGCCTGACTAGATATCCTGGGAGATGGTGGACGGACCAGGTCCGTAGGGAACCCTACCGGGATTGTGGTCTCACATGCCGGACGGGGTATGGAGATCTTATGGTTTTGGCGCCCATACCGGACGGGGTATGGGGACGGCCCGTTTCACCCTTATACCGGACGGGGTATTGAGGTTCATGGTTTTGGCGCCCATACCGGACGGGGTATGGGGACGGCCCTGGAAACTGATTATGAATGTTAAAGGTTAACGGGTAGCGGAACCCCTATGGACCCCCACGGATACTAGTAGGCTGGTAAATGAGAAAAAAAAAGATATGTTGTACAATGATTGAATTACAAGAGGCGTGATAAGTGTTATGTTTTACAGCTTAGATTATTCAATGATTATGATAATGTTATTATTTTTCTCATATTGTTTTCATAAATTCCACCAAGGTAAGTGGATGGTAAAGGTTTTCATGTTAATAAACGAGTTTGTTGTAAATTATGCTCCATTGGTCTTTTTGTGGTTTTCTACCCACCTTTATCTCCGTGACGGTGAGATATCGTGATGTTCTTACTGGGCTAGTGTAGCTCACTCCTTAATTAACCATTTCAGATCAGGAAGACATGGTTCCCGAGCCCGTTCCGCAGGAGGACGACGAAGGGGATGCCTAGAGACTCTGTAGTCATACGCATAGTTTATTTTCGAGTTTTCTTTCTTAGTTAGTTTAACCTTTTATATTTTAAGTATGTTTTTGGTTTTTCGTGTAAGGGATGTTAACTGAAATTTTGATCTCGCTTCCGCATTCGATATATTTAAATACTCATTTCTTTTTTAATATTTTCCGGGGTCGTTACAAAATATGCATAGAACTTAATTTATCAGTTTATTGATGCGGCTGTAATGATAAAGTTGTATTTCATTCTCGTAATTTATTAGTAATTAGATTTCTTTAATTAGAGTAATCACAATAAATTAATGTAGAAAAAAAAATTATCTTCCATCGAGAAGGTTGAGAAAAGTAATACATATAAGGTTACGTCACGAATCATCGTATACATGAGATATATTTTTTAAGAACAAAATCTTTGTAAAGTAATGAATCATCGTAATATTAATTTGCAATTTTCAAAATTTAGAAGCTATT